CCCAACAACGGTGGGGTGGAACAGATACCAAGTTCTGGAGACATTACTGAGTTAGAATCAACAGTGTTTATCAGATGGGGAAAGTAAGGTAAAGGCATCAAGAAAGAACCCCTGGTTTCTGTTACAACAGACTATGTGGATAGGTTTTGGAAAGGAATTATAATTAGAACTGGATCTGGAGGTCAAAAATTAAATTTGTAAGTTATGTCTTTCCCAATGAATAACTGCTACTGTTTCTTTACTTTATAGCCAAAATTCCTAAAACTATTTGGACTCATTGCCTTTTCTTTCCTCACTCCTGTTCTAGTCTCAGTCATAAGCAATCTGACTTCTACTACCCCCATTTTCTTCAAACTAATCTTAGAATACAGTAGCTTTCTAATGATCTGAATCAGTGAACAATTTAGAGTTTGTATTCTAATTATGAGGAGCTCTCATGGCCTAGTGGTAAGGAGCTGCTCTGCCAACCCCAAAATAGGAAGTTCTAATTCACCAGCTGGTCCAAAACAAAAATGGATATCCTTCTGCATGATTTACAGCTTCTGAAAAACCCAGTGGAGGGTCAGCGATGAGGCGTTTCCTACTCTACATCACATAACAACATACTAGCATCTGATTTCGAGAAATTCCACTTTGAAATTTCTTCTCACTCTGGCTTCTGTGACATATTCTTAATTTGCAAAAATTAAGTTCCCCCTCTATTTAAACATGTTCTTTCATTTTCCATTTTCATGGAAAGTGATCACATCTCAATGAATTACCAAATCCAAGTCTTGACATTTAAGTTGTTGTTGTTGTTGGGTGCCATTGAATTGAGTATGACTCATAGTGACCCTGTGAACATCAGACCTGAACTCCGTCCTATCCTGTGTCATCCTTATCATCTCTGAGACACTTGAATCCATTGCTGCAGTCACTGTATCAATCCATTTGACTCAGGGTCTTCCTTTCTTTTGCTGTCCCTCCATCTTTCCAAGCATGATGTCCCTCTCTTACAATTTAAGTCATCCTTCATTTTATCTTCTTTTATTTGACACATTACAAAATCTCACTGGTTTAAACCTCCTTCAATTCATCCTTTCCTCTCTATCCCCACTGCCACAGCTTTTACTCATAGTCCTGTCAACTCTTAAATTAACTGTTAGAATTGCTTCTGAGGTTGTTTCCAGGTCTCTCGCTCATTTTGCTCATCTAATCCATTCACAAAACTGCTATTAGACTGAGTTTTTTTAAAAGAAAAATTTTGCATACTGAAAATAAGTCAATATTTTTCTTGTAAAAAAGTTCCAATTCCTTAGCCTTCTGATCAAGGTGTGGATGATGACTCTCATTTGCAAGCTTTAGTCAAGTTAAATGTCACTGAAAGTTTCATTTTACATGAATGTAATTGGGAAAAAAATTAAATACTACATAAAAATACTAGTATCACTTTATAAGCACAACCAAGAAAATGTTAATTTTTCTACATTAAGTAGTCTATCTAGACTACATGAATTTCAAAGCTCAAAGACCAATTGAGTTATAAATTATTTATCCTTTTGCTATATGGAAGTAATATTCTCCATGGTAGAATCATGTAAGCCAAGGAATTGTTTCCACACTTCAGAAATCCTTGAGATATATGTGTCGTTACTATACTGTTGCTTTCATAACATTCTACTGACATGATAGTATTTGTGAGAACAATATTATCAGAGATTGTTACTGCTTCTGCTAAAAATCAATAACTCTGAAACAAAAATTAGAGGTAAGAATGCTATTTGGAGAAGGCCACCTTGCCGCCATGATAGACTGGTCTGTGTGAATTCTCACTCTGTACAGCATGTGTAATAATTCTGAGAAAGTGAAAAGCCAGGAAGATAGTAGAAAGTATTTTTGGTTATTGTAGAGTTACATGCTCTAAGAATATCTCCTCATAAATTTCCTGCTTATTCCCAAGGAAAATTAATCTTGAATTGTGTGAGATCTTCAAAAGTACATTCTTCCAGTAAAACATGACAATGTATTACTTAGTGAAGAAATGATGAGGCCTGTCATGGACTGAATTCTGGCCACTGAAAATGTGTCATTTTGACGGGGCCACGCTTCTCAATGGTTTGACAGTTATGTAATAACATACATAGCAATTATGTAATTATACCCTGTGATGTGTTCTTGGGTGATCAGCCCTGATCAGATGTAAAATATAAGGAGTATGGCCTGTATCACCTTTTAACTTACAAAAAGAGAAGCAAGCAGTGAGAGAGACTTATTACCACTGCAGATGTTCAGTAATTAATTAGTAGGTTCAAATATTGTATAGTATTTTTATTTTGTTGACCATAGTCCCTGTACTCTGAGACTCTGGTAACTATTTTCTTTACACTCATTCACTCATTGACTTAGTAAGTCGTCTCAGTAGTTATTATCAGTTGTTGCTCGCTGAATTAATTCCAAACCATTGAGAGCCCATAGGTGCAGGAATAGTCCTACAGCATAGTGTTTGCAAGGTTATGACCTTTCAGAATCTGATCACCATATCTGTCATCCAGGTTGTTCCAACTGCCATTCTTTCAGTTAGCAGATAAGAACATAGTCATTTGTGTTACCTAAAGACTGGCTTGGACATAGCCTGTTTTTAGGAGCATAATAATACAAGGTGCTTGCGGTATGCTGTCAAGTGGGAACCAACTCATATCCGACCCTTGAGCACGTTTTCAGAGACAGTAAATCACATGGGAGGAGACTGCCCATCCTTCTCCAGTAGAGCAGCTCATGGATTTGAACTGTGTACCTTTGGGATTCCAGCACAGCTTCTTACCACTAGGCCACCAAAGCTTCCTAATACATGGTAGAATGCGTTTCTTTTTATCAATACTAAATTTTAAAACAAAGCTAGGAAGGATGGAAGGAGAATTGACGCCTTTGAGCTGTAGTGCTGGAGAAGAATATTGAATGTACCATGGACTGCCAAGAAAACAAACAGATTCATCATAGAGAGGATTAAACCAGGCTGCTCCTTGGAGGCAAGGATTCTGGGGCTTCGTCTGACATACTTTGGACATGTTGTAAGGAGAGACAGGTCTTTGGAGAGGGACATCATGCTGGGTAGAGTAGAGGGACAGCGCAGGAGGGGAAGACCCTCTATGAGGTGGATTGATTCAGTGACTGGGGTAATCGGGATGGGTGTGTCAGAGGCAATGAGATTGGCACAGGATAGAGCATGGTTTAGGGCTGTTGTACATAGGGTCGCTATGAATCGCAAACAACTCGACGGCACATAACAACAACAAAAACAACAATGTAAGAATAGACCTTGCTTACTACATTCCTAAAAGATCCTAGAGTTTTAGATAAGACAGTCATAAAATTTGTTCTGTCTTTTTCTTAAGTGACCGAGTGGGTAAGGATTTGCACTACCAAACCAAAGGTATGTGGTTGGAACCCACCAGTTAGACGGTCAATCTCTTATAGAATTTACACATATGGAAACCTGTTGGAGGGTCAGCTATGGGTTGGTTTCAAGTCATGGCAATGAGTTGAATTGTTGTTTTCTTAAAGATTCAATTAGCATTTTACTGTTATCCTTTTCACACTGTGCTTTTGTTAGTCAGTGCCATTGAGTCAATTTTTGACCCATAGTGACCTCATGTGAGAAAATAGAGTTGCTCCATATGATTTCCTTGGCTGTAATCTTTAGGAAAGCAGAAGCCTTTCTCTAACCCTAACTTCTATAATTTCAAAGTAGTAATAAGCTTAGACTATATTTCACAATATCTGCAACAGTTGTAATGCAACCATTTTCATATTTATTTCTGTTCATGATAGTCACAGATACTTCTAATAATACTATAGGTTGTTTCCTACACTCTTAATAGCAGGAATACTAAATTTTAGTTAAACTCAGTTCAAAACACTGCCATCAACTCAATCCTGACTCCTAGTAACCCATACAGGTCTCCTAGACCATAAATCTTAATGAAAGGAGACTGCCCATCTTTCTCCCAAGGTCCATTGGTAAATTCAAATTTCCAAAACCTTTTGGTTAGCAGCGCAAAACTATGGACTATGAAACCAGAGGCCCTTCTAATTAGTTAGTGAAAATAAGTAGATAATTTTTTCCCCTATCTAAATTCACCAATTTCCTAGGTTTGAACCACTGCCTGTAGACCTATCTGCAAGGTCACACACTATATTATTGTAGGACAAAAGGAAAGAACGAGAAGAGGAATTTTTTGTTCTTTCAAATCTTTTATTGAAGTGTTTTGGTTTTTGTTGTTATTTACAGTAAGAATATATTCTAGCATTATGTGTGTAAAAAATTGTAGTAAAATCCAAATTCCAGTGTAAAAGCTGCTGCTGCTAAGAAGAACCTCCCATCTTGACCCCACCCCAGGCAGAAGCACCATTTTGATCATTACTTCCCCTATAGCACTTTAACAGTAAGGTCAGAAAACTTCAGCATCTCACCCTTGGGAGCTCACTGTTTGTAAGACAGGATGGAATCTATCCCTATTTAAAGCATACGATTCTAGGTATGTGTCTAGAATTCTCAACTACAGCTATATATCTATTGATAATCTATTTCTATCTTTCTAGAGATGACTGGTAAGGAGATTTGGTAGGCCAGTGTAAGGAGTTACACTGCCAACCCAAAGGCAAGCAGTCTCCTGTGTGATTTGCAGCTTCTGAAAACCCACTAGCGGGCCAGCTATGCATCAGTTCTGACTTGATGGCATAAAACGACAAAAGACTACTGAGAGTTTACTTCTATAGTAGGCTACACATCTACCCTTTCATTATACCAATGTTAGAATGTCCAAATATTGGGTGAATTACAAGGGATGGTCTGAAAGAACATTTAGTTCATAAACTGAAGACTGCTGACATTTATTAAATGCCCAGAGTGTTCATTATCATATTGCTGATACCCTGACTTCTGAATCTGGAGGTGTATAAGATGACAAAGAAACAGTGGCTTCCCCTTAACAGATGACTCTTTGCTTTCCTTAGGAATAAAGATGGCTGCCAAACCAGTAGACGACTATTACATCAACTTTGTAGAAATGAAATTCATTGGCAATACACTTTACTTTATACGTAAGTCTAAAGGCATAGGCAACATACAAGTTTTAGATAAATTAATTCAATCAGGAAAAAATGTTGTGAATTAAACTATTAAGCAACTGTATTGAAAAACAAGGAACTCATGCAATATTATTCAAGATGGGTGACCCTGGAGGACATTATGCTGAGTGAAATATCTCAGTCACAAAAAGACAAATACTGCATAGTACCACTGTTGTAGAATGGGACTGACATCAGGGTTGGGGTAAGACTGGATAAATTATGTGTACTGCCTTGAAACAGATGAGGGAGAGAACAGTTTAAAAGCAACATATGATAGGATATTATGGTTATCACAAGAGTCCAGAATGAAGGTTGCATAGTGGCGTGTACTTGGGGCAGGGAAGAACAGGGCAGGGAATTGTATATCAGTGAAGGAATTTTTCTTTTACTTTTCAAAGAGAAGCAACTTATTTTTCCTCCAACTTTCTATTGTAATATTAATGTCATTCTTCTCAGGGAAACAAATGGGCTTCTAAAATATATGTCTGAGGTCCTGGTATCTTGTTCCAGAAAATATTTTGCCCTTCAGTTAATAGCATAACTCATAAAGTAGTTGCAGATACGTGTCATGAAAATCATATAGAACTGAGTACATTCAGAAGATGCTATTAGAAACCAAAGTATATTGACATATTATATAGGAGATATTTTAAGTATTGTTCTGTGACTGGGATATCTTATGTAAAGATATTTGATAAATTTAAATGGGATTCTTTAAGATTTCTTTTCACAGGCAGTTCTTCCACCTAAATGCTTTATAGTAAGTCCTTAGGTGACTTTCCATTGAAGAAATAAGTGTACAAATAAACTGTACTCTCTTTTAAATTTCCTCTAAGCTACAAATTTAAATTATAAACTAGATTTGAGGCTTTATATGACTTTTCTTAGGAAACACTATGTCTAACGTGGTCTATTTTATTGGGATATGATTATATTTCTGATGGAGGTCAGAAAAGACCTTCACAAGTACGGGAGGGCTTAAAGAATGGGCGATGGTGGTAAAGAGTGTTTGTTGGGGTTTTTTAAAGTAGAGTGAAGAGAAGATTCTGAATTGAGATATAGAATTTAATATATTTTTTCTCTCTTTTCTCCCTTCAGCTGAAGATGATGGTAAAGTATAATTTTTTTTGCAAAATCTTTAGCTATCTGACCAAGATTCTACAGATACATGACCAAGATTCTACAGATACCATTCTCACATAGGAGGAGCTATCCACATAGTACCAAGTTGTAGGGAAGCTAATCTTCCCTCAAAAAATGTGGCCTCAACAAGCTTAGAATGACAGAGAACCTAAGTGATAAAATTAAGAACCTCTACCAACATATGGAGGCAGTGGACAATTGAATTTTCACCCTTAAAAATCAAGGACCAGGAAGCATCTATTAGATTTTAGGAATAAGGCAGTTAGTGTTATTGGTAAAAGCAATTGATAGAGAATGCAGACAGAGGCAAAGAGCAGTGAATGGAAAGTAAGAAATGCTATAGACAGTTCTGCCCAAAAGTTAGCCATTAAAAAGAAAGAAAGGGGGAAATGGAAAGAAAGAAAAGAAACAAAGCTATAGCTACAGAGGAAAAGGGTTGATGACAGGGGTTTATATTTCAAAATGAGAAATTTTATGTTTCTTTATTATAAAAATATGGGTGTTTATTATCAATAACTCAGATGATGAAAGGCAATAACAGATAAAATTAAAATCACCCAAAAATAACCAATGCAATCAATCATTTTGATGTTACATGTCTTGCAGTACATACCTTTATACACATAAATGCTTATATTTTTATTAAAAATGATTGTTTTCTACCTAATTTCCATGCTATGAGTTGTACTTGACTTTGAGCACTTAGCCACAACAGACTCTGCCTAAAGCTTTGTCCTGAGCTCTGGTAAAGTAGTCCCTGGGGAGTTGTGTTGCTAACTCAGAGGCGGTGCCTCCCTGGCAAGTCGACTCCACAGTCTGCTCTGAAGGAGAAAGATGGGCAGTCTCTTCCCATACAAGTTACAGCCTCAGGAAAGCTGCTGAAAGGTCCATTATACGTCAGCCCCAACTTTACAGCAATGAGTTTTGTGATACGTTTTTTCCCAGTTAGTGATATATGTGGACCTGTTTCCCTGACAATGAATAATGACAATTATAGTAACTTTGTAGTGGCCCCAGTGCCATCAAGTCTACTAGACTCATAGCGTTCCTATGAACAACAGATCAGAACCCTGTTCTATCCTGTACCATCCTCACAATCTCTGATATACTTGAGCCCACTGCTATAGTAAGCACATAAAGAAGTGGATTTATTGTATTCTCAATTGACAAATATTTCATTGGTTTCCTGTTTGTTTGTTTGTTTGTTTGTTTGTTTTTAATTCTTTTGTGTGTGTGTACCCTCAAATTGGATCTGACTGGTACTGGAGGAGATTGCCCCTCTTTCTCCAGCAGAGCATCTGGTGGATTCGAACTTCATGCCTCTGGGATTGCAGTGCAGTTTCTTGCCACTAGGCCACCAGAACTCCCTAGTTTCCTGTTTGTTTTTTAATATTGAGTGTGCCCATGAACATTTTTTTACAGATATATATTTGTCTGACTGTTCCTGATGGATAAGATCCAGGAAGTAGAATTGTTGAGTTAAGGGAAGAGAAGGAATGATGGGTAAATAAAGTCCCAGTAGAGGATACAGGAATAGCACACATGCAGTTAGTCCTATATACCAGGAAGGACATCCTTTTCACATTTTTCCCTGACATGAAAAGGATCGAGGAAATAACTCGGGATGCTAGAAGTTATGTTTGGGATTGGAATAGCAGGTGGTTATTTGCTGAAAGTGAAGGCAAAGTGATGATGAAAGCATAGGATCTGAGGAAGGAGAAGGTTTGAAACTGGAGCTAAGAGCTCTGGAAGAAAGTGCTGAACTGGACAACTAAGAAGTATCGAAGGCCCAGTTGATTTGTTTGCAGTGAGTATACTGTTTCTCAGCATTTGGAGTTTTGTAATAGAAAGGCAAATAAGTTATGGATTTAAAATATTGGCAAAAAGATAGATTAAAGGGTTAGTCATGGAAGCCAGACTACACAGAGACAGGGAAAAAAGCAGGGAGAGACAGTTAGGGAGGAAACTAAAGGACAATGAGATGGAAGAACGTGTATCGTAAGTAAGAGTGTGATAAAATTAAAAGGATACAAGATTATGATTGGAAGGTTGAGTGTTTGAATGTAAGGTTTCAGAGGTGGAGTAGTTGTGAGTGATGAAGCAGACTGTGCCCTTGGAAGTAGTTTAAAACTACAGCCAATTTCATCACAGAAACAGTAGAGTGCAGTTAGTACTTTTTTGAAAGCTGAAGTACATAGTATACTTGTTTAGCAGTTGTGTTTAAAAATTTAATTTTCCTAATTCCAGTGGAAGTTACTGAACAACATCACTAATACCACACACTAGCAAAATCCTGCTGAAGATTATCCAGAAACGACTGAAACAGTACATTGACAGAGAACTGCCAGAACTACAAGCTAGGTTTCGAAGAGGTCTTGGCAATAGGGACATTATTGACAATGTCACATGGATCTTGGCAGAAAGTAAAGAGTACCAAAAGAAAGTCTATCTATCCCAGAGGTGCACGGTTCAACTCCACCAGATGCTCTGCTGGAGAAGGAGGGGCAATCTCCTCCTGGACCAGTCAGATCAGATTTGATGGTACACACACACACACACACACACACACACGAAGAAGAAGAAAGTCTATCTGGTTTCCTTGACTATGCAAAGGAGCTCGACTATGTGGATTACAACAAATTGTGGCTAACCTTGAAGAAAATGGGAATCCCAGAACACTTGATTGTGCTTATGCTAAACCTATACCTGGACCAGGAAGCAGTCCTCAGAACCGAGCAAGGAAACACTGCATGATTCAAAATCATGAAGAGTGCATTGGGGATGCATCCTGTCCCCATACCTTTTCAATCTGTATGCAGAACAAATCATTTGGGAAGTAAGGCTTTATGAGAAGGAGTGTGCCATCAAGATTGGAGGAAGACTCATCAGCAACCTATGTTACGCAAATGACACAACCTTGTTTGCAAAAACTGAAGATCCGAAGTGCTTGCTGCAAAGGTCAAGGACTGTAGTCTTCTGTATGGATTGAAGCTCAACATCAAGAAGACAAAGATTTTCACCACTGGGCCAATGGGCAGGACCGTATTAGATGGAGAAGAGATTGAGGTTTTTAGCAATTACAGCTTGCTCAGATCCATAATCAACACTCTTAACACCAGCATTCAGGAAATCAAAAGATGAATTGCGCTGGGAAAATCTGCTGTCAGAGACCTCTCTAGAGTGCTGAAAAGCAACAATGTCAGCCTAGAGACTGAGGTGTGCCTACTCCAGGCCATGGTCTTTGCAATTGCTTGTTATGCTTCAGAATGCTGGACAATGGCTAAGGATGATAGAGGAAGAATTGATGCCTTTGAGTTGTGATGATGGAGAAAAGTCTTGAACATACCATGGACTGCCAACAAAACAAATAGGTTTGTCTTGAAGAGGGTGAAACCAGTTTTCTCCTTGGAGGCTAGCATTTTGAAGTTCTGTCTCACATACTTTGGGCATGTGGTCAGGAGAGACTAGTACTTGGAGAAGGACATCGTGCTCGGAAGGGTGAACAGACAGCACAGGAGAAAGAGACCCCGGATGAGACGGATTGATACAGTAACTGGGGTAATAAAGGTTGGTGTGTAAGATTTAGTGAGACTGGCTCAGGATAGGGAAGGGTTCAGAGCTGCAGTACATAGGCTCACTATAGATTGCAGGTGACTTGACAGCAGATAATAACAACAATGACATTTGATGTATATTGCAGGAAACCTGGAATCAGATCACTTCCAGGGGATTGAACCAAGGAGTTACGCAATCATACGAAACATAGATGACCAAGTTCTCTTCATAGACCAAGGAAAAAGAGCTGTGTTTGAAGACATGCCTGATTCTGACTGTAGAGGTATTTTAATATTTGCAGCCCTAAAAATGACAAGTTACTTCTTCCCATTTGTGTTTTTTTATGCCTTTCCCTAGTAGACTTAGCCCTTACATGAAAGTGTCAGGAGCAGGAATAATTATACTTTTAAGAAACTTTATCTTTTTAGTTGGTGTGAAAAGTGAGAAATTAAGTGCTTTGTTGGGGGGATCAGGCCACTCTAAGGTTATGTTTGAATCACCAAGTCCCTCACTGTAATTGTACTAACTGTACATACACTAGCTTGATACTCCTTAATTCCCATTGGTTATACCTGAATATGCTCAATAGCATTTTTAAAAGCTCAACATTTAGAAATACGCACACAAAGATTTAAAATGTGTCTGTCTTCCTCCTGAACTTTGAAGTGACTTAGAAAACGAATGTTTCTCTGCTTGCCTATAAACATGCATATATATTTCAGATACCTGCATTTTCAGGCCCAGGTCAAACAGTATGTGTTAGAAAAAAGTAATTTTTCCTTAATAAAATATAATTATAATATTCTTATTAACATTGAAAACAAGTCACAGAAAGACAAATAACTCTACTTTTATAAAACTATAAATATTGTATGACTCCACTGACAGGTGTAGAGAGCAGAGTTTATTCGTAGTTATCATAGGTGGCAGGGAGAGGGAGGGAGTATTCACTGCTCAAAGGGCACTGAGTTTCTATTAATGGTGGTGAAATAATTTTAAGCAGGTTGGTGATAATGGCAGCACAATATGATTAATATAATCAGTGTCCCAGAATTATTCATGTAAAAATTATTAAATTGACAAATGCATCTTTACCATATTCATGCGCACACACAAAATAAACACAATCTTTCAGAATTCAGAATACCATTAAAATACTCAAAAAGCTGTTGTGTGTATGTTGTAATATACACTTAAATATGTTTCAAGGAAAGTCTGGCCAGTTTCCTCCTGACTGGTCAAATCTCAGAGTGCAGGATTGGTAACAGGTTTATTACAACTATCCTTTAAGTAATTTCCATAAATGCTAATTTGCAAAGTTTCTTCTGCCTAGTGTTCTCATTTGTTAATATTTATTTCAGATAATGCATCCCAGATCTTATTTATAATAAAATCGTACGGAGATGATAAATCAAGAGGTAGGTCGGTAGCCATCTCTGTGAACTGTGCAGGAAGAATTTCTACACTTTCCTGTGAAAACAAAACTATTAACTTTAAGGTAAGACTGAGCCTCTATTCATTTTCAATGGTATTTGTAGACTTGACCAGAAATAGCAAGAAGCAAAGAATTTTAAAATAGATAATTATTAAAATTGTCAAGTTCCTTAACCTCATGGTACTACATCTGGGCCTGTCAGAGAGAAAGGCAACAACACAAGTTTCACAATCCTGATATTCTAATTAGCATAAAAATAAAAATATAAAATATATATTTTAATCTGTGGCACTCAGGCCTTTTTTGGTGAAACATTCTTCTCGGTCATATAGCCCTGGTTTATCCACTTGCTGTACAGAGGTAACTTGTGGTTGCTGTGAAACTGAATACTGTGAACACTGATGTGTCAGATGTGATAATGGTTACCAGTGGTGGACAGTGTTTGGTGGAGGTTCCCGATTAAAACAAGTTTGGAAGCAGGAGTGACATCCACTTCCGAAATAGCTTGCCTCCGAAAACCCTATGAATCTGAAGAAAGGAAGAAAGTTATACAAGTGTCCAGGTCTTTCGTTCATAGTGTCGTTATTTAAGAATGTTGTTGTTAAGTGTCGTCAAGACATAGGTGATTTATAACAACCCTATGAACAAAAGACCTGGACGCTCGCGTGTGTGACTTTCATCCTTGCTCTAGGTTCATAGGGTTTCCAGAGGCAAGCTATTTACGGAAGTGGATGCCACTCATGCTTCCAAGTTTGTTCAGCTGGAGAGCACCACCAAACACTGTCCAGCGTGGGTAACCATTATCACATTTGACACATCAGTGTCACAGTGTTCAGCTTCACAGTGACCACAGGTTACCTCTGTACAGCAAGTGGACACTCCAGGGCTATAAGACCTAGAAGACTGTTTGAACAAAATCGATGAAAAACAGGCCATAGAGCCTCAGATTAGAGTCACCCACCTTTGGCTTGGTAGCATTGCTTTCAGTCCACTAGGCCAACTGGTCTCTCTCTGTGTTGTTAAGTGCCATTGAGTTGTAGGCGACTCATAGCGACCCTATGAATGAAAGTCCTTGACACTTGCGTGCACAACTTTCATCCTTTCTCCAGGTTCATAGGGTTTCCAGATGCCCAAATGCTGGCCAACACTCTGGCCCAGAGACCTCCCAGTTCTTCAGGCATGTCCGCTCTGCCGACCCACACTTGGGGCACAGAGAAAGCCACAAGCGCCCAGAGCCTTCCATACCTGCCTCTCCCCAAGAATCCAGAGACCACGTGCTATTTAAGAATAGTATAGTATATTATTTCCAGAGTCATTTCTGTTGCACCGAAATAAAACAAGATCTTGTCATATGATATATGATCAATTTTTCTTTATATCATCCACTTGGTAAATTATGATGATAATATTTTTACCTCTAATTGTTTGCTTCCGTTTCTTAGCCTAAGTCTTTGCCACTTCCTTCCACTTAGAGTTTATTTATTTTTAATAAATCCCTATCAGGAAGACTTTTCTGAGTGGAGATGAGCCAGTAAAGAACTTTTCTCACAATCATCAGATCTCAATGAAGAAATGTTAGTGATAATCTTTGTGGCAATAAGAGAGAGGAAAAAGGCACTGTACAATACAATGAATGTGAGAATAGTGTGTATACAATAGATACAACCTCCGGACAAATCCCTTAGCCATCCTTCCTTTTCAAAACACACTGCTACTGCCTTCAGATGACAACAGAGCCCTCAGTCTTATGGCCTGATAGGCACCTAGCTTGATTCTCATTTAGATAATTAGAGGCATTAGAGAACTGCGATGGAGAGAGTTAAGCATGTTGTTACTGAGCATCAGAATGAGAAGGAAAGGAAGAGATGGGTAGTCAGGCCATGTGACATGGAGAAAAATTTATTCAACTGCAGACACAGATTTGGAACTGGAATATAAGCCTGACCTCCAAGTCAATACTTGTTGAGAGAAATGAGGGAGAATTAATAAAAATGTAAATTATGTTTGGCACATGGAAGGAACTGGGAGAAAATCTAAGTCTTGTGGCACATGAACCAAACTGGTTAGTCTTTCTGTAGAAAAACAACTCAATAATTCAATGTCATCAAGTTGGTTCCAACACATAGCAACCCTCCATCAAGTTTTAGAGCAAGTGTCAGCCTTCTCCTTATCTCCTTTGGAGCCACTGCTCGATTCATACCACCACAAACAAGCAGCCTTTGATTAGTGGCACAGCACACCATGTACTACGTCACAAGAGCTAGGTTTTGTTTCTTGGTTTTTATTTTAAGAAAAAAGTACATAAAATCATCAAAGACATAAACTCAATAATGTGTTTAAAATAGAAGAAAAGGCTTTGGAAGAGCAAGTAACACCTAAACTAAATTGTCTTCACAATTTCTGTTAGAAACTTAGCAAATATTGATTGGAGGAAGGGATGAAGACAGAGGGAAGAAAGACGAGAAAGAGGGAAGAAGAGAGGAGGAAAAGGAGGAGGAGGCCAGGACTAGAGTTAGCGCTTGGTCTTTGTTCTCTTGCTTCCCTTTAATAAGAACATCAGTGGCAGTTATAGATGTAGACTGTTGTCCTTTGTTAGATCCCATCATGCTGGTTCTGATGCCTAGGGACCTTCTGTGAACTAGAACACAACACTGTTTGGTCCTGCTCCATCCTCATAGTTGTTTCTGCACTGATGCAACCACTGTGCCAGTCCATCCTGTTAAAGGTCTTCCTCTTCTTAACCGACCCTCAGCTTCACCAAGCATGGTGTCCTTCTCCGTAACACTCACTTGATCTTTCTGAAACTCCCTTTGAAATCTTCTTTTAAAAATAAAAAATTAGTTACTTTTTTCCCCCTTCATTTTATTATTTTGTACGTGTGTACTATCAAATCAGATCTGACTGGTGCAGGAGGAGATTGTCCCTCCTTCTCCAGCAGAGGATCCGATGGATTCAAACCATATACCTCTGGGATTGCAGTGCAGCTTCTTGCCACTAGACCAGAGGTCCCTTGAAATTTTCTTTTAAATTCTTCTTTTTTGTAAGCTCTCTTACTTCATTATTTCTTCTAATTGCTTCTCTATATTCTAAAGCCAGTTTCAGAGTCTGTTCTGAAACTCGTTTTGGTTTTCTCGCTTTCCTGTGTTTTTAATGAACTTTTGCTCTCTCATATATGATGTCTTTTATGTCATTTGTGTTCAGTGCATCAAACCTATTCTTAATAATGGTCTCTAAATCCAAGTAAGATATACTCAAGATTGTAAGGTGTCCTTAATGATTTTTGGAAAAAGGTATTTGCAATAAATAGGACTTTGATCATGCAGCATTCTATCAGTACCATTTTTTTCTCTCCAAAGCCATATTTTCCAGCCACTGATCCTACTTTGTTTCCAACTTTTCCATTCCAATCACGGGTTATTATTAATGCATTTTTATTTCATGGTGGGTCAGTTTCAGACTGCAGAAGTTGAAAGAAATCCTCAATATCTTCATCTTCTGCTTTAGGGTCTGGTACTTAAATTTTGAATAGTCATATTAACAAATTTCCTTTGTATACATATGGATATTACCCTGTCTCTGACACCTTGATCTTTAGAACAGATCTTGAAATATTCTTTCTGCTCATTAATAAGACACCTTCCTCTTCAATTTGTCACTCCCAATGTTGTCAAACTGATGGTCAAGTAGTGGAATCTGTGCTGGTTAGTAATTGCAATGTCCTCATCCTTAGGACTATTCCTGTTTTTCTCTGGTCAGGAACTTTTACAACTTTGAAAAGGATTTGCTGCAAGAGGTTGCTGTCTGGGCTTTGCCACTATTCTCTCGGATCTTCTAATGCACTTGGGAGAGGATGAAAAAACATATGGAGGGCTGAGCTTAACCATCTCTTAAGTTCAGATTCCTGAAGTTAAGTTCACGTTTCCTGATCTAAAGAGCCCCTTAACCTCTTGGAGCATTCATGTTTTACCTTCCCATGCCGAAGTGTCCTAAAGTCTAAAGGATTATTTGGAATCATCGATTATTTTTTTCATTATCAATAATATGTTGTGTACTTTTACTATATTGACTCTAAATGATCCATACAAAAACCACGAAAATCTGATACCTCAGGGCTTCCTTGCCTCTGTTGTGAAATACGGTATTAGACAACGGTTAGATTACTCATCCTGCCTACATCCATCTTCACTTCCAACTATAACTTTCCTTGCTAGATCTGAATCAACAGGGTCATCTTCTACTGACGTGTTTCTGGAATGTTAGCTAAGGATTATTTTTCACTTATACATTAAATTTCAGTTTAGTCCCAGATTGGTTTCCTCAGCATAGGATCTCTTCTTTACATCTGTTATATGATGGATAGCTGAGAAAATTTACTCCAATGGAGAAATTCGTTCATGCTATCATCAGATCAGACATCTCTGGTGGTCTAGTGGCAAGAAGCTTCACTGCAATCTTGAAGGCATGAGGTTCAAGACCACCATCCCCTCCATGGGAGAAGGATGGGCAGTCTCCTCCCATGTGATTAACTGCCTCTGAAAATGCACTGGAGGGTCAGCTATGAGTTGATTCTGACTTTACAGTACACAACAACAGAAACAAAAACAATATCATCAGTTCAGGATGCACACTTACTGGTAAAGAATCAAGAGGTTTTATTATACATTTTTTCATCAATTAATAATGTTTGGCGCATACCTTAGATTCTGCTAGGCATTTTGGAAGGGTTCTGGAATGCTACTTTAGTTCCATCAGTGACAGAATCCTGGGAATCTGCCACCATCGGATCAAAATGAAGTCAAAACTTCTGTTAGTACCAAGATTAACTTGAGAGACCATTGAATAGTCCACATATTTTCTAACCCATTCTGAAAATTCCACGTGAAGGAAAAGTGTAGGCCATACTGGCAGTCAGGTAATCAACCAAATTATAGAGTCCTGTGTGGCTAACAGACATAGAGATTAGCAGTTGACCTTTCACTTGAGAGTACTGTCCTGCCTACATGAAGGACAGTGATGTAATACTTCTGAAATACTCAAGAGGAGCCCAAGTAGCACAATGGTTCAGTGATCAGCTGTTAATGAGAGTTCAGCAGTTCAAACCCATCAGCAACTGCTCAGGAGAAAAGACCTGGAAATCTGTTCCCCTAAAGATTACCACCTAGGAAATCCTATAGGGCAGTTCTACTGCCATGGTGGGTCACATGTCAGGTTCAAGTCTATATTATTTAACAGTAACATCTTATAATTGAAATGCTTGGTGGAGACAGAGTCAAGAGCTGCTGAAGAGCCGTTACGGCTATCCGGGACCTGGCCCTAGAATAAGTATGGGGTCTATTTATAGTAAGTTTCAGATCCAGGTCTTGATGAAGGAAGGAGGTGGTACTTCTGCTGCTTTCACGATTGGCTCAGAAACTAGGCTACTTTAGGCCTTTTAGTGAAAAATACCAATGTCTTTAAATTTCAGCAGTTTTAGAAAAGACCAAAACTGGCATTAGCCCAAAGATATTATCCACTTCATCTTGGACAGATGTGGACTCGGTTTTGTAAGAAAGGAAAAGAAATCTATCTGATGGGTAAACTGGAATAAAGCTAGAGACCTGACCCTGAATGTGCTTTTCATTATGGTAAGATAGTAGGGAGGATAAAGAAGGAGAGATAAGTATACCTTTATTCAGAGATTTCTTTCCCCCCACCCCTTAACTCTAGTGAAGGAAAAAACCTTAATTCTGTATGATACTTCAAAATAAACTATATATATTCAAATGTTTCCAATGTCTTTTAAAAGTAATATTCTGTTTCTTTATAGGAAATCAGTCCTCCTGATGCTATCAATGATGATAAAAGTGACATCATATTCTTTATGAAAAATATTGTGGGACACCATAAAGCAAAATTTGAATCTTCATTGTACCAAGAATACTTTCTCGCTTGTGAAAAAGACGCAGACTATTACAAACTCATTTTGAAAGAGAGGCCGGAAACTAATGATAAATCTATAATATTCACTGTAGACCACAAAGGAGTAGAGAGTAAAAGTCCATAGCGCACGAATAAAGAATCTAACATTGTGTTCTGTCTGAGACTGTAGTGTGCTAATAAAGAATGTCCTTCTTCTATTTTTTTTTTAAATTTTATTATTTTTTGTGCATTGTACCATCAAATCAGATCTGACTGGTACAGGAGGAGATTGTCCCTCCTTCTCCAGCAGAGCATCTGGTGCATTCGAACCAGGCACATCTGGGATTGCGGTGCAGCTTCTTGCCACTAGGCCACCAGAGCTCCCTTAAGAATGTCCTTCTTTAATATTGTGTTCTGTCTGAGACCAAACTGACAATGATGACTCAAAGACAACATTAAAAAAATCTTAGCTGACTGTGAGTTTATGTGAATGGGGAGGGAACAATGCAGAAAAGCATGATGGAGGATGACAGTGGTTGCAAAACTTGAAGACTGTAAGCAGCGTCACTTACAAGACAATTTGAACTTGTGTATACTGCCACTGTAAACAATAGAATTGACTATGGCTTGAATTTTTTTCCTTGCTTGAACTTTTCTTTATTGTGTTTTAGAAGGCTTCGGGAAATTTCTGAACCGATAACTGTAGTGTTGAATATAGTGTTGATAGAAGAGCACTTTTACTAAAAGTAAATTGGCTCGCCTTATCCTAGTGAATAAATTATTTGTAAAATATTGTTTAAAACTTGCGTATTTTGGAGACAAATGCTCTACCATTGAGCAGTACCTCTCCAACTTGAATAGTTTGAAGGGACAGTCTACATTGTTACTTGGAATTTAGGCGATACCCTGTAGACTTAATTGTTTTTAATATTTTGGATTGTTGGTCCTGGTTATGGAAGATTCTGATATTTGTATTTTATAGTTTTTCTGAATACCAAGTACATTGTATTTAAAAATCATTGCACTTGAGTGCTTTCTGCATTTCTTCCCAGGTAGAGATATCTTTAAAAGTCAGATTCTGAATTCAGCAATATATAAAGACAATCGTATGCTACAACCAATAGATTTTATTCCATTAATGCAAAATTGGTTTAATATTCTAAGATCAATTAATGTAACACACCATGGTGTTGTTGTTGTTGTTATTGTTACATGCCGTTGAGTTACCTGTGACTCATACTGACCATAGTCAACAGTCTTGGCACCAGCAGCCAGGAAATTAAAAGGCGCATTGCCATGGGATAGTCTGCTGTTAGGGACCTCTCCAAAGTGCTGAAGAGCAATGGTAACTCTTTGGAGACTAAGGTGC